GTGTACTAGAGAATTTGGATTAAAAATTATTATATTAATACAATGTATATTTATATGGCATTTAGTATATTTGGTTTTTGTATTCATGACGTAACATTGAATTTAATTTATTATTATATAGTTATAATTATAGTGTTCTAGTTATTATTTGTTCAATTTTTCTATTTTTTTTTTCTTTTTTCACTGCCATTATTATTTATTACAATTTGGTAGGCTAAATAGGTGTCGTTGGTTCTACAATATACATAGTAACTAAACTAAAATTTTTGAAAACTATTAGGTGTATTAGTATTTGGTTAAGTTTTTTTATTAGGTTGTTATATAAATGTTTACGATTTTAAATAGTGTATTTAAAACAAATAATATTTATTTTGAATACTTTTTCATAGCTTTTACCAACATTGATACTATGTTCGAATACATAATTGGAGCAAATGTAAACAATTCGACCATTTTTAAAAAATTTGATAGTTTAGTGACTAGAGTGTACTAGAGAGTTTGGATTAAAAGTTATTATATTAATACAATATAGTAAATTTTAATACAAGTATCTAATTTTGTTTGATTTTCATGCGCATATAGCATTTAGTATATTTGTGCATTTTAGTCATTATTCGTTTAATTTTTTTTTTTCTTTCTTTCCTCTTGACTACCATTATTATTTATTACAATTTGGCAGACTAAATAGGTGTCGTTGGTTCTATGATATAATAATTAAGTTAAATTATTTAAAAGCTATTAGGTGTAATAGTATTTGGTTAGGAAAAGAAAAGCAGATCAAATGTGGAGAGTTATTTAATATTAGGCATTAACCTCTTAGGCACGGCTGAATTTTGCGCGGGGCTGTTTCTCTGTACGACGGAGTTCAATGCGAATTACGCGTAAACATTGAAATGAAGTTTTTTGATGATTGTGTATTCTGCCTGTATATTGTTAACACTGTTATAAAACATCTGAAGGCAAAAAGAGTGTGAAACAAATCATATGAAAACGATCATTTAATTCAAACGGTAAGCGAGTGAGCCACTATAGTGGCGCGTTATTCAGAAAGGTGACATCCGTGAAAGTCAGTATAGAACTATTAGATGGAAATGAGTGGTGTGTTTATGATGTTATTTAAACATGTACAATTATCAAGGTTTGTTTATTGTAATAATTTTAGAGACACGTTTAAAGGGCGGTGTGCCTCTGTCCCTTTCGAGAGCCCTCAGCATTACCCCACATAGTATAACATAAAAGAGTTCATCTTCTTCTACAATGCATATTTGACGATGATTATGGCGTCGATGGTCGATGCTATTACTGGATATTATAGTAATATTAACACTAGGCGGACCAGGTTCGTTGTCTATTTGAAACGATCGGTTTATTTTGATCCACGTGTACTTTCCTCGTTGGTTATTGTTATTTAACATATTCACTGCGTTGGCTTTTTGGGAACATTTATATTTAACACTTTGTGCTAATTTTTTATAGCTTGACGCAACGAAAAAATAAGAACGTAGACATTTTAGTTGTATTTGGTATATTTTGATGAAAATGGTAGAAAAAATCAATGGAAGATATAATCACCACAACCATGTTTATTTTTGAAGCTTTCAACCTCTCTATATATAGTATTTATAAAATAATGGATAATATAAAATTCATAGATATAATCGAAGTATATTTAAGAAGGAAATTGGAGTAAAAGAACACAGAAATTTAATTTAAAATTATAAATACAGTGACTGTATATTTAAAGGGTTAATGATTACATGGGTGCCTAATATCGTTGAAATCAAAACGATAAGAATATTTTTAAATATTGTAAGTATTGAACACAGAAAAGAAGAAATTTTTATTTTTTCAATATCATGATGACTGTTTTTTTTTTTATCAGTAAATGGCTTGAATGAAACAATATTTTCATTCCATCAAACAATGGCTTGGGTGAATGTAGAATTTTCGTTTCACCATTAGATAGCTTCGGTGAAACATAGTATTTTCGTTTCATTCGTGGTATTTACTGGTAAGAACAGTCACAACGTATAATACTGAAAAAATAAAATTTTCTTTTCTGGATTTTATCATATGTTTGATAAGATTCAACAATATAAAAAACTAAATTTTTTGTAATTTCATTGTGAATGCTCATATTGAAGCTATTCTACAAGTTAACGATTCGTATTATTGTCATAAGTAAATTACATCCGCCGCTATTCTTATTGTTAAGTAAGATTCACCTAAAAATAAACTACAGTATGCTATATTTAGATGAATTTTTAATCAATTCTGTTCAATTATGAAATAATATTTCTTTATCCATCGTTATACAAGTGTTAAAAAAAGAAAACATATAAAATTAAAATATCTGAAAAGGACAATCGATGATAAACCAGAAAGCACTTCAATTTTATTTAAGCCACCTGATTCAAATAAAATATTACAAACTGTGTTCTCAGAAATTAATGATAATATTGTCAGATATCGACTTCATTATTATTATTATTATTTATACATTGTATACAGGGTGTCTCACCCGATTTTGACATCTTGATTTTCTCGCTATTGTTACTCGTAACAAAAAATGTTTCAGCGGAGTCTTGAATGGTATCGAGTGGAGCATATTCTGATGTTACTAGTTTTTTCGTGAGTGGACGCGTAAAGGTCATATAAAGGTCAACTTTGTTTTTTTAAGTGGAATGAGGTATTTTTTAATACATCAATCGATTCAGCTGTACAATCGTTATAAAAAAGTACTAACTATGTAACGTCGAAAAATTAGTAGTTCAGGAGATATTTCAATTTAAATAATTCTAAAGCACCATTACTGTTGTACTAAGACGTTAGCGTTTATTTACAGGAATGGTTCAACGTAACGACCATTTACATCACGGCATTTTTTAAATCGATCAAATAATGACTGGTTTACGTTGTTTTTGCTAGTCTAACGTTGGTAAACAGAGCTAACGTCTTAGCGCGGTAGTAATGACGCTACAGGACGCAGATACACGTCATCGTTTGGGGCTCTAAATTTTCAGCAAAAACATTGTTCCGACACTGAGACCTTTCGCATAATGTTTTTAAGGCTTCAAACTATTATTTAAGCCAAAAAAAAAAAATCGAATTTTTCAATATTCTAGAGTTACCAGACCCCTTAAGAATTTAAATAATTTAAATTGACATATCTCCTGAACTACTAATTTTTCGACGTTACATTGTTAGTACTTTTTTATAACGATTGTCCAGCTGAATCGATCGATGTATTAAAAAATACCCCATTCCATTTAAAAAAACAAAGTTGACCTTTATATGACCTTTACGCGTCCACTCACGAAAAAACTAATAACATCAGAATATGTTCCACTCGATACCATTCAAGCCTCCGCTGAAACATTTTTTGTTACGAGTAACAATAGTGAGAAAATCAAGATGTCAAAATCGGGTGAGACACCCTGTATATACGCAGAGATGGCTAATCTTTCCATTTGAAATAAATGCTTTTGGGGTAGCTGTTGGGATTGTGTTTGGTTCATTCTAAACAATTCTAAACAACTCATTATTATTTCAACACATTTGTTCCTATTTTAACAATGAACATACATAGGTATTTCTACACGTGTTCCCTCACAACGTCATTACACACTACCCGGCCACTCTACACATGGGATTCCCCCTCATATTCCCCGTTCCAATGCTACCAACTACAACCAGTAAAAATAACAACACAGGAACTGTTAAGAGGAAAAAAGAGAGAGCTTTCGATTTTTGTTTAATTGAAAGATGGCACACAAGTTGTTTATTACTTGGATGATTTTTATCAAATTGAGTAACATTTATTTCAACCATTTTTTTTTTTTATACATGGTGTTCGGCCACCCCTGGGGAAAATTTTAATGGAGGATTCTAGAAGCCAAAATAAGACGAAAATCAAAAATACCAATTTGTTGATGGAGGCTTCGTTAAAAAGTTATTAACGTTTAAAGTTCCGCTCGTACTAAATTTTTTTCTCCAATATGCGCAAGATTTCGGGGGTATGTCTATTGACCAAAAATGATTGTAATTGACCTCCGCAACCGAAAATAATTTTTCCAAAACGATTTGAAATTTTTTTTCCCGTCGAAAAATTTCACACCTTCTCGAATTTTGTTCTAGAAAGTGGGTAGGATTTCGAGGGTATGTCTATTCACCAAAAATGATTGTAATTGATCCCCGCAACCGAAAATAATTTTTCCAGAACGATTTGAAATTTTTAAATTTAATTGTTAATAACTTTTTAACGAAGCCTCCATCAGCAAATTGGTATTCTTGATTTTCGTCTTATTTTGGCCTCTAGAATCCCCAATTAAAATTTTTCCCAGGGGTGGCCGAACACCGTGGACATAGGTAGAGAAAAAGCATAGGTAAAGATAAAGAAGAATATCGTAGTAATGTTATTTTATTAAATATTCAAAATTATGTCCTTCGACTTCTAAATATCTATTAAGTCTTTTATAAATACTCTCTTGGACATTTGATAACATTGATGGAGAAGTCGAAGTATGCATAAGTAGTTTACGAGGGTGACTAACAAATATTGAAACTGTCTATCCATTTCATTGGAAAGAATAAATAAGAGTAATATTGTAGACTAAATGTTCTAAGAAATCAATACCCATCTTAGATAAAAATGTGATTTATTAATTAAATCTATATCTAATTCACCCCAGAACTGAATTTGAATTCGAAAATTGAATACACCATTGCATATTTTTGATAATTCCTTGTTGTTTTGTTACATCTAATTATGGTTTGTATAGCTTGGAAGCGTGTCATGGATCATTTCCTTGTTGTATTGGGTCGTTCGGAAAGTTCCCGCCGATTTCCGACGGATGGCGCAAGAACACTCTAGAAAAATTGAACTACGTTTGTAAAACTTCACTATTACACATTTTCTGATAGATGGCGGTATCGCCAATATTTTCATGTATTACCCATGAACATAGCTTCAATTGTTTTTGTTTGGCATCACGATAAACATGGAGAACAAAAAAGTGCATTTTCGCCATTTGATGTATTTTTATTATAAAAAAGGCAAGAATGCAGTTCAAGTGGCAAAAAAGATATGCGCCGTTTACGGAGGCGATGCTGTAAGCGATCGGACAGTGCGCGAATGGTTTGCGAAATTTAAAGATGGCGATTTTAACCTGGAAGACCGGCCACGCTCCGGTAGACCATCCACGGTTGATGACGACCAAATCAAGGTCCTAATCAGCAATCATCATAGAATTACCACTCGTGAAATGGCAGAGTGTCTAAAAGTTTCGAATTCGACCATTCATGCACATTTGGTGCGGCTTGGATTCGTTAGCCGCCTCGATGTTTGGGTACCGCACAAATTGACAGAGAAAAATTTAATGGACCGGGTTTCAACGTGCGATTTGTTGTTTAAACGCCACGAAAACGATCCATTTTTGAAGAGGATGATAACGGGGGATGAGAAGTGGATCTTCTATAGTAATGTTGAGTGAAAACGGTCATGGGGTCATTCGAGTGAGCCGCCAACAACCACTCCAAAAGCTAACATCCATGCAAAGAAAGTGATGCTTTGTTGCTGGTGGGATTGGAAGGGAATTGTGTACTACGAGCTGTTACCGCACAACCAAACTATCAATTCCGAAAAGTATTGTAATCAACTGGAGAATTTGAAGAAAGAAATTGATCAAAAGCGCCCAGAACTAGTGAATCGCAAAGGCGTGGTCTTCCAACAAGATAACGCTAGACCACATGTGTCTTTGGCTACCCGGCAAAAGTTGTTGGAGTTTGGCTGGGATGTCTTACCGCACCCTCCATATAGTCCTGACTTAGCACCTTCGGACTACCACTTATTCCGCTCCTTGCAAAATTCGCTTGACGGAAAAAATTTCAATTCGTTGGAGGACTGCAAACAGCACCTGGAGAAGTTTTTCAATGACAAACCAAGAACATTTTACGAGAGAGGGATAATAAAACTATCCAGTAGATGGCAAAAGGTCATCGAACAAAATGGTGCATACATAATTGAATAAACTAAATTGTTAGTCCAATTTTTTTCGATTTTAATTTATCCTAAAAATCGGCGGGAACTTTCCGAACGACCCAATATAATGAATCCTTTGCCCATTAATCATTGCCCCGAGGGGATCGCATGTTTGCATAAAATCTTATTATATTTTTGGAGTTCCATCAACTTTTATTAAATCTTGTATCCCTCGTGCTGTGAAATATCCCCATATTGTTATTGAAATATGCTTGCTTCACTATCGATATTATACAATTTAGAAACATTTTTGTACTTTGCATATAAATTCAATAAATACTACCAAAAGATGTAACTCAGACTCATCAGTTCATAGAACATTATTTACATTCATTTAACAGTCATGAAAATAAGTTTGTATTAAACGTCATTTTATTATTGCAATGCTTGCTGAATTTTGTTGACTTCTATTAATGTGTAGCTTTTACAATGCAATTGTACGTGTTCCTGGTTAGGTTTCATCTATCTGATCTGTTTCTATCGTTTAAATAATTATGTTTTTCAAAATATGTATCACGATACTAAATAAAATTTCAAATATAGAAAAATGCAAATAAATTGCATATTTCCTTTTACAGAGAGGCTAAAATAAGACGAAAATCAAGAATACCAATTTGTTGATTGAAGCTTCGTTAAAAAGTTACTAACGTTTAAAGTTCCGCTTGTAGAACGGCAATTTGTCCACCTACTCGAATTTTCTTCTCGGAAATGCGTAGGAATTCGGAGGTATGTGAATTAACCAAAAATGATTGTAATCGACCCTCGCAACTGAAAATAATTTTTTTAGAACGATTTGAAATTCTTTTTTTCGCGGAAAAATTTCAGCATTACTCCCTTGTTGATTTTTCTTAAAAATTCGTTTTTCATTTTTAATAATTTTGTTTCACGCTGTACGGAAATGTTGTCTAATACTTTTTTGTAGATATCTATGAGCTCTACTTCCAGCTCTAATTGATGAGCTCTAATTTCATTGAAATATATTCACTATTGTAGAAGTTATGGTCGTTTGAAAATTGAGCCCTTTTTATGGGGTTTTTCTTACATTACGGGGTTAAGGAACAACTTTTCGAATATTCTTGGGCTTTCTGCATATTCTTCGCCAAAATACGTGTTGTTTGCATTCTGAAACATTAAAATCGTCCAACCTGTTCAGAAGTTACGATGTTTTAAAGATTCGCATGAAATATTAGGGTAACTTTTCTGGCCATACATTATATTTTCGGTTAGGAATTTTTTTCTCGAAAGTGCGTAGAAATTCAGGTGAATGTTTACTCACCAAAAATGATTGTAATTGACCCCCGTAATCGAAAATAATTTTTACAGAACGATTTGAAATTTTTTAATTTTAAAAACTTTAAAACCTAAAAGATTTTAATAACTTTTTGACGAAATCCTGATCAACAAATTGGTATCCTTGATTTTTGTCTTATTTTTGCCTCTAGAATCGCCCATTAAAATTTTTCCCTGGGGTGGCCGAACACTCTGTATAGGTATATTCATCATAAAGCTTAACAACTTGTGAAGTATATTTTTAAATTTATTATTAATTTCAACATCAAAATTGATCTTTTTTAGCCATGCAAAAGTGCAAAAATACGCATAGTCATTTGTACTACTTTACGTATTTTTTTTACATATTTTCACCTATAAATAATCCTACTTACATAAAGTAAGTACAGCACTGCCAGTTTCAATATTTAATTGTTTACTATTAAACACTTATATCGTCACGAATACTTAATAATCTCTCTTCATAAACTTCTTTAAAGTAATGAAAATTTCTTGATACAAGAGGATTTTTTTTATATATTACTCTCATTTTATTGTATTTTCTCCTATTTTAAATTGTTATTTTCATAAGTACTCTTTTAATACTCATTTTAAATACAACAAAATTTGCTACGAATTGTTGCAACGAAATGTCAAAGAATTTGATCTAGATATTCTAAAAAATTTGATATATTTTATTATATCGATTATAATACAAAACAATTAATAAATTAAATTATTGAAGTTAAATCATAATTATGCAATTTGTCTCGTCCGAACAGATCAAAACTAATATGTACTTACTAAACAAAATTTATTATGACAGATTTATTTGTTAACATTTAGAAGAACTTGGCTTGAACGATCTTCTCTATAAAAAGAATGAATCTTGAATGAATCCTCCTTGGCATGCTCTATACTTTTCAATGCTTTATCATAATGCCAAAACATTGCCTATGTAATATTCGCTTTATTTGCGATAGTTTTATTAGCAAGTTTGTGGTTTAGAAGTTTCCAGATATTCTCAAAGTGCAAATCTGGAGCTTTTTAAGTGACGAAATTCATTGTTTTATTTTTGCAAAATAATTTTAATAGCATTGAGAATTTTATCAATTTTAAAATGCATTTATAATACGCATAATCAATAATTTAGTCGCTAACTGTTCTTTATTTTTAGTTTTACGATATTTTCAAAAGTGTATTAACGGTACTATTATAATTCTTATTTTAGATCGAGTTTAAGTAATGTCCTTTTAACCCTTGCATGTATATAAATATATATAGATAAATTGTTCGATTGAATTTTTGCGTTATTGTATTTGTAAATGTTTTATTTAATAATGACTTAAATTTGACAAGCTCACTGTAAAATTATTTATCAAAAATCAAAACTTTGCAATTCTGAAAGAAATAGTTTGCATGGGTTCAAATAGATCTGGGCTTTGATAAAAATAAAATTTTTAATCATAAGTGTCTGTTTTACACATACGGGAGTGAACTTATTACTACAAATTCTTTTTTCTATAGCTATTTTAAATTTATCCAAGAAATAATAGTTAACACACGTTGAGACAGCACAAAATATTTTTCGAAATAGATAAAGAACTTGAATTGAAATAGAAAAACGTTCACGAAGTTTTAACGTTTATTTGTGAACACAAAGAACAAATTGTCTTCTTCGGAGAATATTTGCCATTTATTATTCTATTACAAATTTCACAGGCTTTGACAGACTTGTTATCACACTTATCATTCATTTCGCACCGTTTCAATTTTGTGTAAGTGCATTTTACACTTGATGCAAAATGTCATTATCGCTTACAGTTTTGTTTGTAATATTTTTAATGAATTTTCTTGGGATTATTTTTATTTTAGCAGTTTCCGCGAGCAGAATTCAATTAGAGCAAAACCTTCATTCAGATAGTAAAGCATTCATTTTTCTGACATTATTCTATATTTTGGACAGAATAGTATGAATATCAATAATAGAAATGAGGACAATAATTCAGGAAATTACGTTTTTACTCTTTCAAATCACGTTAGCTTTTTAATATATCTATTGTCGAGAGTCAAATGTCATTTCTATTTCAGATTCGGATAGAGTGTGGGGATTTCCCTCTAGAATTGTTCGTGGTGGCGCGACCGAAGCGCCAACGTGACAGTAGCGCCACCACGAACAGCTCTCAGGGGAAATCCCCACAAGAGGATCCCTTTACTGCCACCTATCTCGTTACTCGCACCCTAAATTGTTTTATTTAAAATACTGAATAAACCTTACAAAGTTTTTCATACAAAAACTTTAACATGCAATTATAACTGTAACTAACACGACAAAAAAGGCAACAGTAATTTTTTTTATTCTTCGACCTTCTTAAAAGCGAAAGGGAACATAAAACACTACAGGAAAGGCTACTATTTTAGTTGATTTATTAACATAATAAAATATTTAATCTTATATATAATATAAATATAAAATTAAATATATAAACACCATAGAAAATAATGGCAATCATAATATAAATAATGACTGGTACAAGCGTTCAAAGAATTTTAGAATTACTCTCATTATAGTATTTGCTGTAAGCTGTTATTGTCATCACATTGTAATCTCTGTGTAGTTAACTTAGTTTGTCATACGTATTTATACTTGTACAATATTTATTCTATTACAGTATGCAATACATGATTTATGAAAACACGCAATGCAAAAGTTGCAAAATGAATAAAAATAGAGGGTTTGAGAGTTTTAGTATTTTTTTAATTTATAAAAACACGGAATACAAAAGTTGCAAATTTATGAATAAAAATAGATCGTTTGAGAGTTTCAGTATTTTTAAAAATTAAAGATATTGAATAATAATAAATAATAAGGAAAATCTATACTTTTGGTAAATAAATTTAAAAAATAATACAATTTTACCAGAGTTGATTGTTCAGGTGACAGTAATTGGCTCCTTTATCTTAATTAATAATGACGAAAATAATTTTTCGGTTATATTCGATCAACCAAAACTTGTTCATGTTTCACTATAAACGGTTTAAAAGTAGAGTAAACCAAATAATATTACCATAACTGTTACGATCAACCGAAATAAGTTGTTCTCATCGATAATGGATTGTCGTCAATACACAGAAATTTCAATCACGTATAATCGTTATCCGCCCTAAAAAATTAAAAAAAAA